CATTTAAAAAACTAACAGCAAAATAAGAGCTAGCAGGAAATGCACAGGGGGTTAATACTGTTAGTACTGAAGGGGCCAATCGCGGTCTTTGTGGGCTGCATCGGTCACATTTCTAGGGAGGTGCCCGTCAGCTTACAGTGTAGGGTTTCAGAGCGGGGACATGCCTACTACTTTATGCAGAAGCAAGAGTGTCACATCACGCTCCTACATACAGATTTTTTTAATGTTAAGCCCTCATTTCTCCAAATTTTGACAATCTGGGAATAAGAATAATATTAATTCTACCTGATATAAAATTTTCATTTCCGAAAGGTCAGTTTTGCTTTTGTCCAAAGTGTAGTATTAGGTGAGGGTTATTACCTACAATGAGTTAGACCTCAGAGGTTACGTCTGGAAAAATTCCACTTCCTGTTCTGACATGTGAATCAACAGAAAGTCTGGACTGTAAAAAAACAACAACAAACAAACATGTTTTTTTTTTTAAACAAAAGGTAAAATTGGTGTTCAGGAACACAAATCAATAGATTACATTTTGTGAGTATTTCAGACTGCTGTGAGACTGTTTTCAGTTTGCTGGTACATGAAGGAGCTTTAAGTGAAGGTGTATTAATTCATAACACCTATTTTTCAGCACGTTTGGTTTCATGCTGTCAGACTGTGAAGCAAAGAGCACTAAACACAACATATTAACACACGTGTGCTGCACACTGAACAGCGCAGACTAAATAAACCCCTCCTCTTCAGATGGGTGTTAAAATAGTGTCGCTCTGATACTCCTCCTCGCGCTCTGGAGCTGTCAGTCATCTCTATAAAGAGCCTCAGATCTGAATCTCAGTCAATGTTTGGACTCTGTCGTCCTGGGAAAGCAAAAAGGGCAGAGCTGCAGCGTTAAATCCCCTAAACATTCCCGCGCTGTGTAATCACACCAGACAACTGGGACCTCGCTGCATCCGCCCCTGCAGGCCTGCAGAGTGACTCCTAAGCTGTTGCTGATGTACATGTTTCACAGCTGCTGGCGTGTAACATGTGAAAGTGACGGAAAATTATGCATCAGTCTTGCGTGGGGCTGGCATCGAAAAGTGGGACTTGAATGGGAATTTCCATCATCTCCTGCTTTGCATTTCCCAAAATGTCAGAGTGTCGCCTTACAAAGAGTTTTTATTTTTAGCTGCAGGGGGGTTTCGTGTGAGCACTGCTGCTCCCCTCTAAGTTTATCGCCTGGCCCACATCCCGATGAGGACTGAATCAGGCTCCCTCTGGATCTGAAGCCTTTTTTAAAAGGAGTAGGTGGAGTTTGCTCCTCTCTCCCGTCCCCAGACCGGAGTTTGGGTCAAAGTGCTTGGTGCTGCTGCCCTGGTCTCCCTGACGGTAACCCCAACGATCCTGTTGCGTTCTGCACAACCACAACTTTTCTTACAACTTAGGTTTGAATCTCAGGAGTCCTGATAATGGATCAGCTCAAGTACCACAGCGCAGGCATCCAGGAGAAGCTGCAGATCGCCGGGGTGGAGGATGAGGCCGGGAACCCCATCAGCGCCCTGACCATCCTGTCTTTGCTGGAGCGCGTGGCCAGCATCATCGATAACGTCCAGTCCTCCCAGCAGCGCATGGAGGAGCGTCAGCAGGATCTGGAGAGCAACATCAAGACCATCCAGGGGGACGTCCTGAAGCTGGCAAAGGACCACACCGACACCAGCGGCACCGTGGAGAAGCTCCTGCAGAAAACCCGCAAAGTCAGCGCCAACGTCAAGGAGGTCCGGACACGCGTGGAGAAGCAAAACATCCGAGTCAAGAAGGTGGAGTCCACGCAGGACGAGCTGCTCACCCGCAACAAGTTCAGAGTCGTCATCTACCAGGTCAGCAGAGTTTCTCAGGGTCGGACGTTTAAACGTTGACTTTACGAATTCTGCCCATTGAACACACCAC